TAGTAGTGCAGCAGTGCCTTAAAATACTATTGCGCAGTAGTACTTTTCTACAAGAGTTATTAACAAAATATTTCGCAAGACTTCTTAAATTAAAAGTACTCTTTGTTTATCTTTAATAAAAGTTGCTGTTCTACAGTATTATCGTCTAGACGACTCCTTTGTGGCATTAGAATTAAGCCACTTATACTGAATAGTCGTTCAACGGATGCGCTACTCGGTAGTGCAGTATTATACTCAATGAAGAACTTCTTAATTGTTGGATAATCTTTTAACATTTCAACTTCAGTAATTGTCGACTTCAAAAATCGTTGCAACTCATCTTGAGTAGATTCATTATGTATCGTTTGTTTATTAAACATAAAAAAGTCGTCATCCTCGATGTCATTATCATAGTTTACAGAACTTTCATTTGAATGGATTCCTAATAAATCTAGTAGATAATGTTCTGCATTTTTTCGATCATTTCCGTTTAACCAATTCAATTTGAATTTGGGGTGCAAACAGCTGGCAATTATTAATTCCCTTTTTTCAAACATAGTATCAAATCTAAAACAACAATCAATAAAATTATTGCATATTTACTGGCTACCTATATTTGGAATAAACAGCTCGCACAAAGCGCTAATGATTAGTAATGTAATTAGCTACAAATATAGTCTGTTCATAAGATTTTCTGCTGAATGACATTAGCGATTTGTATTTTCTCAACAATATTTACTGTGATCATCATTTTTTTCAGCATAGTTTAAATACACCAGAAAAACTGCTTAATAAAGATATTGGAAAACCTCAGATCATTAATGTCATTTAGCAGAAAATGTTACAAATAGTGTCTATGTTTAACGGAAAAAACAACTCAATATTCAACTGGAATATTCTTTTAGATCTTTGATGAATCTAGGTTACTTTAATAAATCAATTATTAAATGTTTAGTAAACTACCTTTTCTGCTAAAGGCAATCATTGTGTTTACTTTTTCTTTGTTACCAAAATAAATATTCTTTTGTATGAAAATGAAATTAACATATACTTTAATCAAATTATCAATTTACCTTTCATTTATACCTATTTGTATCGCCACGACCAATGAATGACAATATTTAAGGGCATCGTTATTAATATTTTTCATTTTTTGTTGCAACGTT